TTCTAAGCAAAGCTTGGAAGGAGTGTTCTTCCTGTCATCAGTACTATCTTATATCAGTCATGCCTATAGTAATTTTTTTTTTTTTCATATAGTTGGAGGTGCCTTAGTTACTGTATTAGCTCACCTGTAATCTACGTTATATGTATGTTTGTGTTCTGTCTGAACCTCTGGCGCGGTGTTCGCTCACCCGTAAGTTACTTTATGTTCTTTATGTATGTCTGTGTTCTGTCTGAACCTCTGGCGCAGTGTTCGCTCACCCGTAAGTTACTTTATGTTTATGTAAATTTTGTTTTTTTGTTTTTTTATGTATGTTTGTGTTCTGTCTGAACCTCTGGCGCGGTGTTCGCTCACCCGTAAGTTACTTTATGTTTTTTATGTATGTTTGTGTTCTGTCTGATCCTCTGGCGCGGTGTTGACTCACCCGTAAGTTGATTTATGTTTGTTTGTGTTCTGTTTATACTCTAATGCAGCGTGAGCTCAGTAACTAACTACTTACTCCAACTACAAAACCTACACTCACCTTAGACTCCTGTAATTTGTTAGATGCAGTGTTTTTCCTAATGCACTTCCAAAATATCATGCCTGGTTTTCTCAAAGTACTGTTGCGGGAAGTAACTCCTTTTAACTACTTCAGGTCAAGTCAGGATAATCGAGATCAATCTTGCTACTGGTATCACGTAACCCAGTACCACCTGCCACAAGCCCTGCTGCCTTGCAGAGTGTGCTCTTCTTAGGCTAAGGCTAGGAGAAATAAACTCCGCCTAAAAATTCCCCTGCCTTGGAGCTCTTGGTTGAGTAAAGGCTAGAGAAGGTGTCTCAATAAAAACACTCATTTTGGGCAGATGTAAACTGCATCCAGCTAAACATCCCCTGCCTTGGGGCTCTTGGTTGAGTAAAGGCTAGAGATGGTGTCTCTATAAAAATACTCATCTTGGGCAGATGTTAACTGCATCCAGCTACTGTCTTGTAGAAGGCCTCCTAAACAAAGACTTAAGGGGTAAGCAGAAAAATTCTGCTAACCAGCCTCGAACCCCTTCTTCATCTATTAGGCTGGCGTAGATGTAACCTGTGTTACATTGTTTCCTGCCTAGGATGATGAATGCTGGATCTCCTTGACTCTACTCATAGAATTTTGCTTATGCCTCCTTGATAATGGCTATGCAACTCTTCCTGTTATCTCCATATGAAGGTACAGCTCTAAAACTCAGTTTAATGGTTCTGAGGCCGGCTGGTAGTAAGGTTTCCCGAGCTCTGTGGTAGCTCTCAGAGAGGCTGATTCCATCAACAGCTGCAAAATATCAGAGTATTAACAGTGCCATGTTGCGCATGGATGGTGTCTCTGTTAATGCTTTTGGTGTGCATTGTCAAGGCCACATAAGGAGCCTCATGTCACGGCTTAGGGTTAATTAACAGGACTGAGACAACTGCATAGCTCATTGATTAGGAGGCTGTGCTCTATCAATGAATGAGTCAAATTTTCATTAAACCCAAATCATGACCAAAGTAACCAAAAATTTTAAACCTAAAAAACCATCTCACCACCTAAATATTTTAATATATCTTTTACAAATATTTGGGGTCTACGAAGCAACTTTCCATCAGTTGAGTCTTACCTCCTGCAAAATTCACCAGACTTGCTTGCTGTCAGTGAAACAAATTTAAATTCTGCAATTCCTTCTTCAGATGTCAGTGTTGATGGGTACTATCCTTTGATTCGTAAAGACTCAAATAGTCACATGCTAGGTTTAGGGGTATACATACGCATTAATTCCCCTATTTGTCATTAAATCAGGTTCGAATCCTTTGACCATTCTTTTATGTGCTTTCGCCTAGCACCTCTTCACTCTATCACCTTTCTCTTTGTTCTTTATCGTTCTCCTTCTTCCCATGATTGCACTATCTTAGATGTTATCTCTGATCAAATTGACCATGCCATTTCTCTTTACCCCTCTGCCAATATTGTTGTTGTTGGTGATTTTAATGCCCATCACACCGAATGGCTTGGCTCTAACACCTGGCACTAAAGCCTTTAACTTCTGCGTTTCTCAATCTCTTACTCAGATAGTTTGTGACTCGTTTTCCTGACAACCCTAATCATTTACCTTCACTCCTTGACTTATGTCTTGTCTCTGACCCTAGCTTATGTTCAGTTTTTCTCTTTTCTCCCTTAGGTGGTTCTGACCATGCAATGATCTCTATAAATCTTTCTTCTCATACTTCTTTTTTGGGCTCACCTTATCATCGCACCACCTACTACTACCCTAAAGCTGACTGGGACTCCTTTCGTGATTTTCTTCGTGATGGTCCTTGGGCTGATGTTTTTTCTCTCTCAGCTGACAAATGCGCCTCCTACGTAACCTCCTGGATTCAGGCTGGAATGGAAGCTTTTATTCCTTCTTGTCGGTTTCAAGTCAAGCCTCATTCTACTCCATGGTTTTCTCCTTCTTGTGCGACTGCTATATCCAATCGTAATCATTTTTTTCATCTTTTTCAAAAGAACAACTCTCTTGAGAACAAACGGCTATTTATTATTGCAAGAAATCGATGTAAAAAGGTGTTTTCTGATGCTAAACTCCATTATTCTCAGTTCACTAAATCTCGCATCTTATCACAGAAGTTAGGCTCTAAAGACTTTTGGAAAATCTTCAACAGCATTGTTAACAAGGGTAGATCTAACATTCCATCTCTCATTCATGGGACTGATCTTATTACCTCTGCCAATGATAAGGCAGAACTATTTGCAAAGAACTTTTCTTCTAATTCCACTCTTGAATCTTATGGACATTCTCTTCCTTCCATTCCAGTCAAACAGGTTGACCCATTGTTAGACATTCAAATCACTCCGGCTTCTGTTGCTAAAGTCATATCTCAATTAAACTCGTCTACAGCTTGTGGTCCAGACAACATTCCTGTCACAGTCTTGCAGAATTGTTCTCCAGAACTTTCTTTAATTCTTTCTAAACTATTTAACAAGTGTTTGACTGAGTCTTGTTTTCCTGCTTGTTGGAAAATGGCATCTGTGGTTCCAATATTCAAAAACTCTGGAGAAAATTCTGACCCCTCAAATTATCGTCCAATCAGTCTTCTTTCTGTTATTAGCAAGGTCTTTGAGTCTTTGATCAACAAATTCCTCACATCTTATCTTGAGTCAATTAAACTACTGTCAGACAATCAATACGGTTTTCGATCCTCTCGCTCTACGGCCGACTTGCTAACTGCTGTAACTGAAAGATTTTATCGTGCTTTAGATGGAGGCGGTGAGGCTAGGGCTATTGCTCTCGACATATCTAAAGCTTTCGACAAAGTTTGGCATGCTGGCCTTCTCCATAAGCTTGCTTCATATAGTGTTTCTGGGAAAGTTTTTGAGATTATCAAATCATTTCTTTCTAACCGGTTTAATAAAGTCATCCTTGAAGGCCAACACTCTTCTTTATTTCCAGTAACTTCTGGGGTTCCTCAAGGTTCCATCCTGGGCCCTGTTTTGTTTCTCATCTACATAAACGATCTTCCTGACAACCTTTCATCTAAAGTAGCTCTTTTTGCTGATGACTCAACTTTATACTCCTGTCTTGACAAAAAGTCTTCTCTTTTCGATCGCCTAGAACAAGCAGCTGATCTTGAATCTGATCTCACTTCAGTAATAGATTGGATTTCACAGTGGCTTGTGAATTTTAACTCTAACAAAACCCAGTTGCTTACTGCAAACAACTACCGTAATATGGTCAACATTCCTATATTAATGAATGGCAATCATCTTACTGAGTCCTCCTCTTTACGTCTTCTTGGATTATCGCTTACTACTGACCTTTCATGGAAACCATATATACAATCGATTGCTAAATTAGCTTCTGCTAAGGTTGCTTCTCTTTATCGTGCTCGCCATTTCCTTACTTCTGATTCCATTCTCTACCTCCACAAATCTCTTATTCGTCCCTGTATGGAATACTGTTGTCATATTTGGGCTGGTTCTTCTAACGATTCACTTTCTCTTCTTGACAAGGTCCAAAAACGAATTGTAAATGTTGTTGGACCTGGACTATCTGCTAAGCTTGAACCTCTTTCCCATCGTCGTAAAGTTGCATCTCTTTCTCTTTTCTACAAATACTATAACGGTCACTGCTCAAAGGAGTTATCTCTAGTTCCATCAACTAAAATTCATTCTCGTTTTACTCGTCATTTAGCTAAGTCTCATTCGTTTACTGTATCTGTCCCTGCATGCTCTAAAAACTTTTATTCATCTAGTTTTTTTCCCCGCACTTCAATCCTTTGCAACTCTCTCTCATCTTCATGTTTTCCTGACTCATACAACCTTCAACTTTTCAAGTCTTCTGTTAACCGATTCCTTGCTCTATAACTCTGTTCTTTTTTTTCCTAGTAACTCCCAACTTAATAGTGGTTGCTTGCAGCCTTGTTGGGAGTGAATGCAAATTCAAAAAAAAAAAAAAAAGCAAGTTGTTTAACTAACTTCCAACAGAAAAAAACATCCTGTCATAACATTACATCAATAAAAAAGAAATTTATCAATTTTTTAAAATCATTTTTTTATTTGATATTTGCCAATTCTAAAATGTTAACAGCAAGTTATTTTATTAAATAAGAACTATTCACAGTAACAAAAAACATCCTGTCATTACACTAGTATAGAAGAAATTTGTTACCTATTAAAGTCATCATTAACATTTTTAACATTAACAAATTGATTATAATTAAACTTTGTGAAATGGAAACTTTCTTTTTGTCAAAGTAAGATAAAAGAAATCAATCACTTTTTAGTTTTGTATTACCATGGTGATTGCTTAAGTTGCTTTTATTAGATTAATTACTATTGGTTTCTCATTTTTAAATTAATCTCAAAATGTTTTTAGTGTTGCAGTAAGAATGGATTCATGTGATTTTAGAAAAAAATTAAATGATACTTGTCATAAACTAAGTTATTGTAGAAAGATTGATTTAACGAAATTTGATTGCTGTAGAGAAGATGCCAGAGAAAAATTTATTTAGAGATCTGGAATAACAGATGATAAAATTTTAACAATCTGTCTTCATCATGAAAAGATTTTTGGTATACACTTTGAAAAGAAGCACACAAAATGTTGTAATTTATTGGACAAGCATAAATCAAAAAAAAAAGCAATCAAAGGTAAATATTGTTGATAAAAAATTATTGTAAAATCTTTTTTGAATAATGAAATTAAATTCTACTAGTTTATAAAAGTTTGAAAAAAAGCTGATCTGGTTATGCAATATATATTGAAATAAGTACAAATAATTTTCATATTCATAGGTAATTACTAAAATAAAATTGTTCTTTTCTTTTCAGGGAGTCATGTAATAACATTAGACATGGCAAAACAATTGAGAATTAATTTTCCAAATGTTGTGCCTGGATATCAAATTTGTCGGAGCTGCTTTGATGCTATAATCAGTAAATTTCATGAACAAGATAATTGTGAATTTGAGGAATCTATTTCATGTGCTACTTCTGAAAAGTCACGAATGGCATTAAATATTAGTTTGGAAACAATAGGTGTATCCCCATAAAACTTCATGGCATTCCAAAGCATCAACGGCTATCTGTTGCTAAAAGTAAAGTTATAAAAATAATGTCAAAGTATGAAGAGCATATTTCAAAAGTATATAATGTTAGGGAAGAAGAACTGAAACATAAAATTCCTCATACGAAAATTATTCACTCATTCTGTTTGTGTATGTACCCTCCATCAAAACTGCTGTATTGTTTTAGTTGACTTTGCAGAAAACTTCACTTTTGTGATTCAAGATGAAATCTAAAGTTACCATTAGTGCAAAGGTCAATGCACATTGCACCCCGTTGCCCTCTATTTATTAAACAAAAATGACCAACTTGAAGAAAAATCGTTTTGCTTTATGTCAGAAGATAATGTGCATGACACTGGTTTTGTGTATGAAGTTCAAACACAAATTGTTAACTATTTAAAAGAATATCATCCTAAAATTTCAAAGATTCTTTATTTTTCTGATGGTTGTGCTGCACAGTATAAAAACCAAAAAAACCTTTACAATATCTGTCTCCATAAAAATGATTTTGACATTGATGCAGAGTGGACATTTTTTGCTACTAGTCATGGTAAGTCATCATGTGATGGTATTGGTGGCATTGTAAAACGATTAACTACAAATGCAAGTCTACAAAGGCCCATAAATGACCAGATATTGAATTGTAACAAAATGTTTGACTACTGTACTAACAATATTAAAGGGATTATTTTTTTCAAGATTGAAAAAGAAAGACTGACAGAATTGCGCACCACTTTGAAAACACGTTTTGAGCTAAGTAGAACAATCCCTGGAACTAGGAGCTATCATCAATTTAAACCAGAATCTATAGATACTATTAGCTTTAAACGAACAAGTGAAGATGTTCATATAACAGGCATTTTTTCTTTTTCTGGTATTCAAAGTTCTCAAAATGATCAGAAAATTAGCATTGATGCCTTGAAATTTGGTGAACTCATTATGTGTAAATATGATGT